CAGGCAGTGAGAATCCAGAGTTTTTATTATTACTGTATAAGTAATATTTCATTCTAAATGAATCTGTAGGGTACATGATGAATGATTATGTCACAAATTTCCAATGACTTTGTTTCTGTCAGCCACTTTAATTTATGATAGTTAAATTTCAATTATGAGGCTTTGATAAACTGCTTCTAAAATATTATGTGATTTTAAAAGCCAATATTTTCTATCAATATATTTCAAATGATCTGCATTTCAAACTGATCAAGTATGAAACTTCATGTAGCTCCTCCCGATCTCTTTTTTTTTAAACATTACTTGGGGTTGAATGCAGGGCCTTGTGCATGCTCAACAAGGCCTCTAGCTCTGAGCTACATTGTTGGCCATTTTTATTTTGAGTCAGGGTCTCTCTAAGTTGCCCAAACTGGTCTCAAACATCTTTGTGCCTCAACCTCCTGAGTTGCGGGGATTACAGGCATGCTCCACCATGCCTGGCAATAGTTCTGATATTATTTATTTTTATTTCTGTCTTTCAAGTAGGCACCTTTTTCTCCTTGTACAATTTGTTAGCACTTTGATTTAAAAACAACAAAAAGATTTCTCCTCCAGTGCTGAGGAACAAATCCAGGACCTTGTGTATGCTAAGCAGGTGCTCTGCTATTGAGCTATACACCTTGTGTCTACCCCAAAATACCAGTTTAGAGATATAATTCAGATGCCATACAATTCACCCATTTAAAGTTTATAATTGAAGGGCTGGCCAGATAGCTCAGCCGGGGTTCTATTCCCAGCATTCCATGCTGGCCCTGCCCCCAGGACTCATTGAGATGGCAATTGAGACTGCGCATGGTGGTGCACGCTTATAATCTCAGCACTTTGAAGGCTGAAAACAGGAGAATCACTACAAATTCAATCTACATAGTGAGACCCTGTACACCCTGTAGACCCTGTCCTAAACACTGATTAAAAAAAAAAAGTATACAATTGAGTGTTCTCCAGTTAGTCACAGAGTTGAGCAACCCTCAATCTTATTTTAGAAAACTTCTTTGCCCTCATACAGTTACTTAATCCAGATATGGTGGCGCATACCTGTGATCCCAGCGTGTGGGAGGCTGAGGCAGAAAGACTGCTGCGAGTTGGAGGCCAGCCTAGGTGACACAGTGAGGTCAAGGCAAGCCTGAAGTATATAGCAACCATGTCTCAAAACAAAAACAAAGATAGAAACAAAAAAGAAAACCAGTCACTACCATTCCTTCTACGACATCCAGGGCTAGGAACCATTAACCTACTTTCTGTCTCTACAGATTTGTTATATAGAAACATACTTTTGAATAAAATCATTTTATGTTTTTATTTTGTAATTAATCAATAGCTTATCATCCCTTAATCAACCATAAGTTAACCATAATTAAACATACTCACACCTAATCTGATTTTAGTTGACACTTTATGGGAACAGTGATGCGGATGTTGGCCCAGCAGGATCTGTTCTTTACTGAACTTCATGACTATCAAATCATAGAGACAACTGCTCTAGCTTCCTTCCTGTTCAGAAGCATCTACTAAAGTTTGTAAGGTTTTCAAATTAAATTATAGATATCCCAGGAGCTTGCTGTTTAAGATTTCCTATGATGGAATTGTTTGTAAAAGATAATCTCACAGTAAATACGCACCCACATTCTTCCGGGACACTGAATACACATTAACTGCTCTAGTGTGTAAATCTCTTATTTCTGTAGATTTAGTTGGCTTGAGGGATTTTGTTTGGGGTTTTCTGTAATGATAAAGGTTTGGCATTAAACTGGACGCTAAACTTCCCTCTCGGAGGTCAAGATTCCCTTGCAGCCATGTAGTGGCTGGTCTTCGAGCACAACCTTATGTGCTGGTGTGTGCCAAGTTCTAGACATGAAGGCCTGAGATCCACGAATACAAGCCACTCTCATGGCTCATCAGTGTGTCCTCGGGACTCCCAGAGAAAAAAGCATGGCTTAGACTGGGTGTGGTGGTGCGTGCCTGTAATCCCAGCTCTTGGGAGGCTGTGAACAGGCAGATCACTATAAGTTTGATCTAGTAGTGAGACCCTGAACACCCTGTAGACCTTTTCATAAAATTAAAAAAAAAAAAAAAGAAGAAGAGAAAAAAGCATGGCTGAACATGGATACATTTTTCTAGCCTCTTGCAGCTACTAACCATGCAATGGTTTTCCTCTCAATACCACATGACTGGTGAGCTGAATAGGCAGAATTGGAGAATTGCCCACCAGATCACAACAGAGATGGAAACAGGTTTCTGGTCAGTGTAATGGTGAATGCTTTCCTACTCAAGCCCAAAACAATGCTTGCACCACCAGAATCCTGCCTGCAGGGTGACAAGTCCTTCCCTTTGTAGAGCACTTTCTGATTTATAAGGCACATTAGGATGTGATTCAATTTGAATCTCATTACTATTCTGTGAGAAGGACAGGTTGAGTCTTTCAAATTCCAGATGGGAAATCAAGTGTAAGAATCAGCTTCAGGTCAGTGGCTAGATGTTGCAGGTATGATATCTTGGACTGAAGCCTAGTGTCCATTAAAGCAGTGCTTTGAGGAGGCCACGCCTGTATTCCAACTTTGGCCAAAAATATTTTGAAACTTTTTGACAGTATCTTCAAAATTTGTAGTATATTTTTGAATATTCTCAAGAGAGACAAATGCTTGGAAGCTTGTATAAACATGGATTGCTGAGATCCACCCTCTAAATTTCTAATCCATTAAATCCAAGGTGGCACCAAAGATTTGCATTTCTAATACTTCCCATGTGGCAAGTGTGCTGGTGGCCTGGGGCTTTCTCCTAAGGAGTGCTCTCCTCTCCTCTCCTTTCTAGAAAGAATGAGACATTTAAAACCATGTCTAGTGACTCTGGTGTGGGATCAAGCTAGGGAATTCCACTATTGGCCAGAAACAATGGGCAACCTATGAAGAATACTAGCTCTGGCAAAAATAAAGAACAAAGAGCTCCATGCAGGTTCTGAACAACGGTGATTTTGATAGGACTAAATGTGAAGCTTCCCCACCAGACTACTTTAAAGGGGAGGACACTTGGATGCGTGCTAAAGAATTCTCATGGGTGTACAGGGACAATGTGTGCCACACAACATTGCCAGATGTTCAGTATCCATCTTTGATTTTCCATCTTTGGAAAAAGAAAAGAAACAATGGAGGTGACACACTAAGAATCAGTACCAAGGGAGGATCAGTAGCTATTGAACAGGAAGGGGTCTTTTCTGTGCTGCAAACATGAAGGATGTGGAGGGCTTGGAAAGAATCTTGACTCTTTCTTCCCTAATTGCTTCTGTCATGATTAGAAGGGCACAGGTGAAAAGGTCTCGTTTCAGATGCCAGAGATAAACATGGAACATTTTAGGAGAAGGGGAGAGACCAGCAGAAAAGAAAAATGAAATACATTAGTATTTAAGCTGGGAAAAAGTCAATCCTTCATGTCACAGCAGGGAAAAATGAGGTGGAGGAATGCCTAAATATTGGTTCTATTTTAATTTCAATTCTACATTACATTAAACTCTCCTTGTACTCTTTAATTTACAACACATGCTGACACAAATTGGTGTGCCTTTTCTTCTTTGACATCAGGATTCCTCGTGAATTATGTATTTCGATCTGGAATGAGGCTTGTGGGGCTAAAACCTCCTTTCATTAAAAGAGATGAAAACAGGGCAGGATCAATGTGAGGTCAAGTGTAAAATCAAAGTGAGGTGAGGCTGAGATTCATTCACTGCAGTATTTCTCTGCCCAAAGAGACTATAAGCGGTATTAAAAACAACACAATCTTTCCACTTTCAATATATTGACTAAGCTTCAACTTCTACAAACCCTCATCCCAGAATGGCCAGGTTCTTCAGTTCTCGGCATCCCACACAGATTTAGTAACCATTTCAGAGTGCAGGTGACCAGAATAACTACATCATTGGAATTCAGTTTTATACCAAAACAAAAGAAATGCCCAACCCAACACACTGTTTTGGCCACATGAGCCTTCACACATGGATTGCATGGCTGTGTGCCAAGGCCACCTCAGACACCTGGCCCCATGATCAGTGACAAATGGCTCCTGGTCCAAGTCAGGCAATGGTTCATATTTATAGAGCCCATTTGCTGAGTTTTTCTGGGCCTTCCTGGGTCTCTGATTCCAGACTCAGCTTTATCAGCTGGTGCTGGACTCTAGACTGTTCAATCACATCAGTACTGAGGTACAGTATTTTATTTTTTCTTCTTACTACTGAGGATTGAACTCAGGGCCTTTATCTTAAACTATATCCCCAACCCTTTTAAAATTTTTTGAGACATGGTTTTGCCACGTTGCCCAGGTGGGGCTCTTAATTTGTGATCCTCCTGCTTTAGCTTCTGGAGTGCTGGGGTTATGGGCATGTGCCATCACATCCTACTATTGTGGAACATTTGGATGAAGCTCTTTTGAGCTCATTCTCACACTTCAATGGCCTTGTTAAAAACGTAGACACACTGTTTCCTACCACCAAATACACAGCACAGGCACCCATGACGCTTTTCTTTTTCTGCACCCTGTTCCACCTCAGCCTTGCCTTGAAGGCCACCTGCAGCCCTCTGATAGTGCTTCTTCTACCTTTAGCCTTTACCCACTGGTCATTCCATGTCAGGAGTGGCAACTGGGGAAAAACTGCTTGCTTTGTACAGTTCCTGGTAATTTAAAAAAGAACAATATTTCATGCTTTACAGTTATAATAACAATGTAAAACCTACCCTGGAGTCAAGAAGGCGACATGAAAGCAGTCCACCATAATGGCCTTTGGCTGAATGTGGCGGTCAGTGAGCACATCAGGTAACCCTCCACTTACTGGCACAGCCCTGCTTGGCTGGTGGCTGGCCAGCCACGAGAACACCTGAGAGATGCTGTCACTCTGAGAGTGGGTGTGCCATGGGCACTGGGCCTCTCAGGCTCTGCCGGGAAGACTGTGGTCCTCATCTTGGTCCTCTCTGCTCTGCTGACTGGGCAACCACAGAGAAGAATGGCTGCAGAGACTCAAAACTGGAGAAAGCCTCCATTCTGCCCACAACATCTGTGGTAGATTACTTTATTCTATAATTAATGAAAGAAGTGGAATCTTGAGTGCAAGCTAAAAATGGAATGAGAAAGACCCCATTCTTCAGGCAGCATTAATGAATGCTTTGTATATAAATAACTTTACATATCAGCGTATAAATGGGACTTAAAATATCTGTTAGTGATTCACAGGGTTCTAAGGACTGGTCTGGCTTTGTGTGGTCAGAAACCTATTTTTTTTTTTTTTTGACTCTACTATTCTAGATAGAAAACAGTTAACCCAGTAAGATTTTGTCTCTTACAAAAGATTTGCTAAAATATTTTTCTGCCAAATGTTCATATTCTAACAGCTGCTTTTTTATTTCTGTGAGAGATACTTGAAATAAAATCATTGTCCTCTGTGAAAACTGCATGCTAAATAATATAGAGCTACCAGATTATTAAATAGCAAAGGCATTTGATAACATTAGCCGCAACCACAGGTTCCACTTCTGCTGAGGCACAAAATTTTCAGTAATTAGTCATTGCACAACACTGTATTTATATCTTTTTTTTGCTTGCGCTGTTAGGCCACAAAATCAGCAGGCAGTTGCTGTTATAAAAGGGCTCTCTGGGTTATTTATAATGTTTCTGCTTCCTTACAGTTGCTGTTTCACTCTTGAAGCCTGAGCCAGGTCTACACTGTGACAAAGAAGGGAGGAACTGAGCAGTTGTTCTGTGATTGTAACTGTTCTAAAAGTGATGTGGACAGCTCACAGTGAACTATACATGAGTTAGCTTCAATACCTGGTCTTTCTGCCTCCATAGTTCAAATTCATTACACACTGGCTGACTCTGCTTCACTGGGAAAGGAGCACACTTACCCAGACTGTTTCTGTAAGGAGTAAGCCAGTGTCTAGACTACACGTGGTAGGGCAAGCTATCTGGACTAGCGTTATGACGCGGAAGCGTTGCCTTCAGTGTTCCCTTCTCAAGTGAAGGACAGACTTCTGTTCTAATTGCTTATCTGATGCACAGGTCAGCAAACCTTACAGTGGGGGTGGGCAGGCAGACATGCCAATGGCAGGGCAATGCATGCAGCCACCTGAGCTGTTCGACCTTTTGTGAATTACAGAGGTATCGTCTTCTGCATTGTGCAGAGAATCACTGATGATTCCATGATAATCCCAATGGAAACGGTTTAGGGGAGTCAGGAGTCAAAAAGGCAAAAAACACTGAGACTGACTAGAATGAGCTGAACTGGTTGCTTTGACTTTGAGATGACTGCCTTCTTTCTCTCTTAAAGGAATGCATTTCCATCACGTCCTCTGAATTCTTCAGCATTCTCAAAGCCACCCCTCAACGTGTCCACAGCCACCTCACAGTTCAGGTTGCCATCACCCCCACTCAGATCGATACCTCAGGCCCTGGCCTGTTCTTTCCACCCCAGAGTCTGGTAGTCTCCAATTTAATTATTTTTTAAATATATTTAGTACAATGTCTTCAGGGTGTACAGGGTCTCACTACATGAATCGGACTCATAATGATTCTCTAGTTTTCATCCTCCCAAGCACTAGGATTACAAGTGTGCACCACCACGCCCAGTCTCAACTGCCCTCTCAGCATGTCCTGGAGGCGGGGCTGGCAAGGCACCTGGGACAGCCGCTGTGCTCTGCCTAAGCAGGCGCTTTAGTCTGCTGAGCTATCTGGCCCAGCCCCTCCAATTTGTTCTTTATACTGCAGTCACATTCATCTTTTAATGAAGTACAAATCTGATTAAATACATCCTGTGCGCACATTCTTCAGTGCTTGGCTCTCCACTGCCAAGAAGAAAGCTCGAAGGCCTTCACTGTATCAGGGCTTGCCATTGCTCCCCCTCATCCTTTCCCATTCTCCCTTACACTGTAAGTACCTTCCCAATAGAAGCGTTACCAAGGAAAGCCCCAAACAAACTCAAGCTTCACTGCTCTTAGTCCAATTAAGAAAACCACTGAAGTTAGCAGTCAGAGAGCCGGACAATACACGATTAGTCTCCTGCTCGCTTTGCTGCAGGTGACAGCTCTGCCATGTGTGTTCGTTACTCTTTAGGACTTGAAGATCCCCTTTGCTGAAAACACAGACTCTTTACTTCCACTGGTGGAAGTCTGATGGGGCCTGGGCCAGGATGAAATGGCTTGGCCTCTCTGCCTACACAGTGTGCCTGGCTCCTTTGCTGCCTCAACCTTTGGGTCAGGTTCAACTCAGCTCTCCATGTGGGTAGTTGATCATGTAAGGAATGGTTAGCCCACAACTATGATATAGGCTTAACTTGGACTAGACTTGCCCTATCTCTCTCCTCCCCCTTGGAGGCCAAAGCTACCTATCAGTTATCATGACAGGAAACACCAGACCGTGCAAGGAATGAAAAGTGATAGCCACCTCTGGGAGATCTCTGCCCATTCCCCCAAAAGTTCAAAATCCTCTTTTCCCTTTTTAGCCTATCTCCCCCTGTATTATTCTAATCTTTTACTGCTAATTCCCCAACAAGTGGGATTGAGAAGTCCATGTGTGAGGGAGGCTTCTGCTTCCCATTCTTTGGTCACTGAATGAACTTTGTTTCGACATTTATTTTTGGATTTGAGACACTGGATAAAAAAAGAATTCTACTTTGGGTGTCTCCCTTGACATGGGGGACAGATAGGCAAGAGAACGACTGGAAGGGGCACGACCACACCACACTCGCTGTAGCTTCTGAGCCATCTCCTGTGCTGCTGCCTCACTGAGGTTACCCCTCACCAACCTGCCTCTGGCTTACCTTTCTGCCTGAACCTTCCATCGCCTATTGCACAGCTTCCTCCTCAGCCTGCAGAACTCCCACAGCACAGGGGCACTCCCTCCCAGCACTTCTCATTCTGGCCCAGGGGGCTGTATGCTCTTCCAGATGCCAGATTCCCCATGGCCAGGGACTTCTTACCACATCAGTATGTCCACATTACACCACGTGTGCCAGTGGCAGGACACATGTGGAAGGCATGCAGAAAATTAGGTATGCTGAGCAACTGGCACACAGCACAGAATATACTTTGCCAAAGAAATTTTCCTGTATAGAAATTTTCCTTTTCTGTGGTACCAGTATTGAATCCAGGGCATCACTGGCAAGTACTCTACCACTGAACTATATCCCTTTTTATTTTTCATTTTGATATAGGGTTTTCATAAATTGGTCTGGCTTTGAACTTGTGATCCTCTCCCCTCAGCCTCCCAAACTGATGGGATTATACCACTGTGCCCATCTTTACTTCTTAAAAGACTGCTGTCAGTGCTAGGGGCCACTGTTGAATCCTGGAACTCTTAGAATTATCTAAGAATAAGATGACAGGAAGCCCAAGGGGCCAGACTGTGATCCCTGGATGTGAAGAAACTCAATGCTGTGACCTAGACATCTGAAAACTCTCCTACAAAATGCTCAGTATTCTAAGCATAAAACAGAAACCTCCTCACTAAGTCTATCTCCAAAACTTAAAGGATTTTTCTCATGTTTACACAGATGGTGGGTTTTAAGCAAAGTGAGATGTTGGCATTAAGATTACTATGAAGTCCTGGTTCAGTTCTCCAACAAGAAGGTGCTGATTCTGGTAAGGAATTATAATTCGATTCTTAGATCCTGTGATCAATTGATCACATGTAGGATTAAGAAAGGTAATTTCATTAATAGGGAGGGAAGGGGAGCAATCTGATTTGCTTTGGGACTACTGGGAAATATATGTATTTCATGTAAGTTACTCACAACTTGACCTGAATGATTGGATTCCCAAGTGCTAACTCTGAAAGTTAAAGAGAAGCCTAAATGGATGAAAAAGGACTTTTCTAACTGGTATCAAAATAGTCACGAGGAAGTCACCTGGCAGATGAAAGAGTGGTCTTGATATTGCTAAATTGGTTTATTTTGACCAAAGAAAGAAGAGGATATAAAATTTAATTTTTAGAGACTCTCTCAGAGGGTATGAATTTAAGACCTGTTTTATCCTCAAATCACAGCTTTTTCAAGGGTCGACCATAGTCTAAAGCATCTTTCTCTATTTTTATTATTATTTTGTATTTTAGGGAAGGGTCTACAGGGTGTTTAGGGTCTCACTACTAGATCGGACTCTAGTGATCCGCCTGTTTATAGCCTCCCAAGAGCTGGAATTACAGGTGTGCACCGTCAAGCCTAGTCTCAATTGCTGTCTCAGTGTGCCAAGGGGGCGGGGCCAGAACAGCAGGCCGGGGGATCTAACACTGGCCTCTGCACCTGCAGGCGCTTTAATCCGCTGAGCTACTTGGCCAGCCCTTCTATATTGTTTTTATAGGAATAAAAAACAGGAAGAAAGCAAGAGAGACTTGAAGAGTTACACCTTTAAGCCAGGCATGGTGGCACATGCCTGTAATCCCAGCACCCAGGAGGCAGAGGCAGGACTACCTCATGTTTGAGGCTACGTAGTGAGTTCAAGGCCAGCCTAAACTACATAGTGAAGCCTTATCTCAAGGAAAAAAAGAAAATAATTGCCTTCCCAAAATCCAAAATAAATAAATAGTCACACCTCTAAACACTGTCCCACTATATCCTGTTCACACATATGCAGGCACCGATGCACACAAGGTTGATGTCACTAACACAGCCTGTGCCAGCTAGACAGGCAATGCACAAAGTATACAAACCACTAACCTGTAGCCTGTACCCATGCTTCTGTACAAAGGACAGCCAGATGTTCAGCTAGACAGGAACTGCACCCCCTTTTAAAAAAAATATTTATTTGATACAGGGTCTCGCTATGCAGCTCAGACTCATAGTGATCCTCTTGTCTCAGCCTCCCCAGCACTGGGATTGCAAGCATGCACCACCATGCCCAGTTTCAGTGGCCAGCATGGCATGTGGTACTGGGGATTGAACCTGGGTCCTTCTGTTTGCCACGCAGGCACTTAGACTGCTGGGCTATCTTCCCAGCCATGCACCCATGTTTTTGATGGGTCATGGTTCTGACTTTCAGGGCCCTACTGTTTAACTCCAGATGTTTTTGTCACCTCCTCAGAGGTTTTTCTCAGAACCGGGGATTGAACTCAGGCTCTTGCACTTGCCAGGGAAGCACTTTTCTACTGAGCTGTCTCCCCAGCCCCTCCTCAAGAGTTTTAGGTTTCCCAAGAAACACTTCCATTGCATGGAAGGCCATCAGCCCCAGCAGGTCTGTCCTGGTGACACAACTATAGCAGCCTAGGAAAACTGGCAAGGCGTAGTGCACAGGATCACTGCCAGGCTGTCACATCAATCATTAGGTCACCTAAGGAAAGGTGAGAGGTGAAGCTGAGGTATAGAGTGCTGAGCAGAAAGCAAATCCTAACTGCAAATAAGTAAGCAAGCAAGCTATAACCATATGTCATCCTTTCCTATGGCAGAGAACCAGTTCCTATCCAGGCCACAGAACACTGTGTATCTAGACTTGTGTTTCTCTCTGGGTTTTTGCTAAGGCTGAAGTGACTGTTTCTTTGCCACCTCCAGGTCCCTCTTGCACATGACCATGCCCTGCCTTCCCTCTGGTGCCGTATCTGGGTTCTGAAGTAGGATGAGGGCCCTGATCCCTTCAGGAAGCCCCCGTCACGTGGGGCCCTGGGTACCTGTATATATATACCTTCCAGTTGGGAAAATGGAATAGACATCCTCACATTTGGCCCTGGTTCAGTTCTTCAAA